GAACGGCTGGTCCGATTTTCATGAAATTTTGTATATAAATAGCTTTCAGCAACTACCATGTTTTAGGCCAAAAAATTTGCTTTTTTCCGGTAAATGAACCAAGACCGATCTATTCGAAAAAGTTTTATTGTAGTCCGATTTGCTTAAAATTTGGAACGTAAGTAGCTTTTTACCCAGATTAGCATATAGGATCTTTTTTTTCCGGGAAGTAGACCAGGGATCTATCTATTCAAAAAATCGTACTTATGGTCCGGTTTGCTTAAAATTTGGTATGTAGGTAGCTTTTTGCCTTGATTAGCATATAGGATCCTTTTTTACGCGAAGTGGACCAGCGAGCGATCTATTAGAAAAATCGTATTTATGGTCCGATTTGATTGAAATTTTGTACGTAGGTAGCTTTTTGCCTGAATAAGCTTCCTGCAATTTCGAATATATGTTAATATATTAAAGGGCGAATTCGTCATTCGCAAATTTTTTTTTGCGACAATCAGAAATAACGGATACAGTTAAAATATAATAATCTATATATATAAAACAAAGTCGTGTTAGTTACACCATTTATAACTCAAGAACGGCTGGACCAATTTTTATATTTGGTTTTTGGATTTGTCTACCTTCCGAATAGCCTCAAGGATGATTTTAGGCTAAAAAAATTCTATATGCAAAAGGGGCGTGGCACCTTTGACACACACCGAATTTTTTGGTAGAGTTCTGGAACTTGGTATGGAGATATACGAAATCAACCGCATACCCTTGGAGAAAAATTGGAGCTATTGGAAAAAGAGGCGTGGCACCTCTAATACAAACCAAATTTTTCATACTACATATCTCTGGAAGTGTTCATGGTAGAGTTCTGGAACTTTATATGGAGATAATACGAAATCAATCGCATACTCTTGGAGAAAAACTTAAGCTATTGGAAAAGAGGACGTGGTACCTCCCCTACAAAACCAATTTTTCATAGCATATCTCTGGAAGTGTTCGTAGTAGAGTACTTGAAATTGGAATAGAGATATATAAATCAATCTTGGGGAAAAATTGGAGCTATTGTCGGCCGCTGTGGTGTAGTTGTAAGCAGTGCGCTCTTTCACTCATCAGCACCTGGGTTCTAACCCTGGTCAAAGCAGCATCCCAAAAAA